GATTATGTATTATTATTATAATTAAAATCACAGGAAGCGCAGCAAAAGTGGACCATCCGGGGCACCTAGTGGGACAGCTGAAAATACAGCTGGTGGGAGCTGAAACGGGTGTTAGGACTCTAAGGATAAACAAGTCAAAGGACACATGGGAAAGACCCAAGCCAGTAAGTTGGTGGTCTGTTTGTGGAAAGGCCTCCTTTTCCAGGTGAAGATACGTGGGTCAGGGTCTCATGATTTTCACAGCAAGGTGGCCACAGAGCCAGAGCTCAGGTCCAGGTTGCCTAAGACCCCAGGGCACCTCTGCCCAGGTCCTGCCTCATTTTGCAGTGAGCGCTGGTCCCACGTGGCGAGCAGGGCTTCTTTATGCCCCGTCAAGGCAGTTTCGGAGCGGAGTCACACAAGCAATCGTGACTTGATGGAACTCATCCAGGTTTAGAAGCTGCGTGGGGTACCACAGATTTATTTGGGGGAGTGCCAGGGGGTCCTCAGAGACACAGGCAGGCAACTTCCAGAGCAGCTGACTGAGCTCTGTGAGATCATGGATGCCCCAGGCAGGAAACACTTGGTTTTCACAGGAGCCCTGATGGAGAGGTCCAGGCAGATGATCCCGACCGCCAGGGACACTGCTGCTCACCCAGGGCACTCCACTCAGGAAGCCAGCTCATGCTCCTGGCCACGTGCACTCTCTAAAGAGCAAACCACATCCTGCAAGAAGACAAAGTGTGCCCCTGTGGGCAACGTACTGGTCCAGACAGTGGGGGGGAGGGGTGACAGGGAAGGCGGACTTCAAAGGTGGTGTCTTCAGAGCTGGCCCCAGACTCCAGACTCTCCAACAGCAGGTTCTCAGAATTTCAGGTGTCTCAGAATGGCCTGGGGTGCTCATTAAAACTGCAGCTTCCTATCCCCAAACCCCCGGAGATCAGCTCAGGAACCTAGGGACAATGGCAACAGGAGTGGCTCCTCTCTGGGCTCGGAGCCAGACAGCGCTGCGCTGAGGGTCTCGTGGGTGCAGCCCTGTGAAGCTTTTCTGCACGAGCAAGGCTTTCCGTTATCCATAAGGACCAACGGTGTCAGGGGGTGGGGTGGGCAGCACTGGCCACAGCGGAGACTTGGAGAAAGTTGTCACAACCCTGCAAGGCAGATGGCATCACCCTGTCCTATGTCTTTGAGAGGCAAGGGAGTCCTGCTTCTAGTTGAAAGGGGAAGGCAGCACCATCACCCACATTTAGCTCAGAAGACCAGGCTCTTGACACTCCTGTAAAATCTGGTGTCAAGTAACACCAGTGCCAAAGTATAATCAGAGACTCTCGTCACTAATGGATTATTCGCTACGTCGTTGTTCAGTCGATCAGTTGTGTCCCACTCTTTGTCACCCCATGGACTGCAGCACGTCAGGCTTCTCTTTCACTGTCTCCTAGAGTTTGCTCAAACTTATGTCCATTGAGTCAGTGATTTTATGTAACCATCTCATTCTCTGCCACCCTCTTCTCCTTTTGCCTTCACTCTTTCCCAGGGTCTTTTCCAGTGAGTTGGCTGTTCGTGTCAGGTGGCCAAAGTATTGGAGCTTCAGCATCAGTCCTTCCAATGAATACTCAGGGTTGATTTCCTTTAGGATGGCTCATAGCTTCACTGTGTTACCAAGTCCCTTTGCCACGACAAGGCTGTGATCCATGAAGGAGATTATTTGCCATGCTGTAGAAGGAAATGGCAGCCCACTCCAGTGTTCTTGCCTGGAAAATCCCAGGGACGGGGGAGCCTGGTGGGCTGCCACCTACGGGGTCGCACAGAGTCGGACACGACTGAAGCAGCTTAGCAGCAGCAGCAGCAGGAGTCTAACCCTGGGCATCTCTTTGGTCCAGACCCTCTGTGGACTGAGCCTCTCAAACTCACAAGCAAGAAGGAACCCAGGACGGTCCTTGGTTTCTCTGTCTCTGTACTCAGATTTCTGAGCACTCAGGGTTTCTACGGCTTTTACCTTCAATAGCTGGAAAAAGATTCATGTCACTTGTGGCTGTCGTTCTGAAATCCAGACCGAAGGCTTTTCTCAGCCTACCTCACTCAAAGTGAACTCGGCACACTCTGAAGCCGAGGAACTCGGCTCTCACTTGCACGGGACTCAAGCTTCCTCCTTCAGCCTCTCTGGGCTTCTCTTGAGGACTTCCAGGAGCTTGAAAATCTGCCCTGGAGTTTTTAAAGGAGTCTTTTTGTCAGGACAAAGTGTGAAAGCCACAAAGGGCTCAAAAAGACACACCTAAGCGATGCCTCCACTGGAGGACTTCAGGGCTGTGGAGGTAATAACGGGGGAGGAAAAACTGCAGGCCGGGAGCAGGCAATCATTAGGAAACGCAGGTTCCCGGCGACTCAGTGGTAAGGAATCGGCCTGCCAGTGCCGGAGGCGAGGCTTCCATCGCAGGTCAGGGAAGACCCCCCCATGCTGTGAAGCAATTAAGCCTGTGCATGCGCCACAACGACTGAGCCTGTGCTCTGGAGCCAGGGAGCTGCAAGGACTGAGCCGGCGGGCCACAAGGGATGCGGCTCTCACGCCCTAGAGCCGGTGCTCCTCGACGAGAGGAGCCACTGCAACGAGTAGCCTGCACACGGCAACTAGAGAGGAGCTCCTGCTCTCCGCAACTAGAGAAAAGACCTGTGTAGCAACAAAGACCCACCACAGCCCAAAATAAATAAAATTAAAAAAAAAAAACCACGAAGAAATGCAGGTCAGTAGGAAACCAGGGGCCTGTTCTTAAAAATACATTTCTTTAAAGCCCCAGGGAAGTCTGAATATTACATGAACTTAAAAAAAAAAAGACCAGACCCCACAGGGGAAACAGAAATCCTGCAGGTGGGCACAGCTCTAGGCCAGTGGGGAGGGCAGCTGGGCCAGGCCAGGGAGCACTCACTAGAGTCTGAGCAGCTCCAGGTGGACGCCCGCAGGGCCTCATAACTGGCCCAGGATTTCCTTTAACCTAAGTCTCCACCCTGTGCCCGTGAGGCTGACCCTGGCGCAGTTTCACCAGGATGACACCGGGCTCAGAGAGGGTTACTGGCTTGCTCAGTGTGACCAGCAGGCCAGTAACAAAGTTGAGTGTTGCATACAGGTCTCCTGACTGCTATGTAATCATTTATTGGGTCAGTGGAAGAACCATTTGAGCAGAGGCCTGGAAGAGACCCTGAATCCAAAGTCAAAGGCCGCCTTTCAGTGAGAGAAAATTCAGGGCCCCGGGGACACAGGTCATTAACAGTCTGCTCGGGGAGGGGTGGTGGGGGAGTGGCTTCCCTGGTGGCTCAGCTGATAAAGAATCCGCCTGCAAGGCGGGGGACCTGGGTTTGATCCCTGGGCTGGGAAGATCCCTTGGAGAAGGGAAAAGGCTACCCACTCCATTATTCTGGCCTGGAGAATTCCATGGCCAGAACAGCTATACAGTCCATGCGGGTCACAGAGAACTGGACACAACTGAGCGACTTTCACTTTCATACTTCAGTCCTTATTGTGAAAGAGTTTCCAAATCGTCTTCTGACAGACGCACTTTGAAAGCACACCTCTTTTGCTTCTTTTTATTGTTTAGTTTTTGGCGGAGAGCGAACTGGCGTCCGCCGGTTGGGGCTCGCAGTTTGATGCCGTCCAGGCTGTTGGACAAGCACCAAGCTGTGATTTCATTTACACGGAGGGTTGTGAAAACACCAGGTGGCTTTAACGGTTCTGCCTGTAAAGCCTTCGGTGGCCAGGGGCAAGGGGTGCCCCTCCAGCACACCCCTTCTCCCCTCTGGAGCGAGAGGCGACACCCCCTGTTTCCGAGGTCATCTGTGGTGTGATGGGAAGCGGAGAGGGAGCTGTCCTTGCCCCTGAAACAGCCTCCCCCTTGGTACTTGGTCCTCAAGGCTCGGACTCATGGTATCTGCTATCGGCGGAAACCCTGCAGGCCGTGATGTGAAGCAACTGGTCATTTTGCTAGGGCACTGCTGGGATTTCATGAGTGGGGGCAAGCCCATCAGATACTCCGCACCTGAATCTCAGCCCAACTGGGCTACTCCCCGCTTCTCTCCTGAAAAAGCAGTAACTTTCTTTACGTTAAAAAAATTGACCCCAACCAAGTGCCAACTGCTGGTGCTGGAAGGGAAAGGGGAGTCAAAAAGGGATGAGTGTGAAGGGGCATCGCTGGGGTGGGAGGCGGAGCGCGGGGTCAGTCACAGAGTGGGATGGGAGGTGGGGCAGGGCGTGCCAGGGCGCCGCGCACATGAGGCCAGCTCGCCAAGGGATAGAGGGGGATCCTGGGTGACAGCGAAGAGCTGGCTGCCCTGCGGTGTGAGGACATTCGCAGAAAGTACAGATTCTCCAGGTGGTTCCGGAGAAAGCAGGGACCTGGGAACACCTCCGAGACTAAAGGCGGCTTGAGAATTTTCAGAGGCCTTTCTGTCTCTTCTGCGTTTTACAAGGGGGTGTCAGAGAGGGGGCTCTGGGCAGACGTAGCTGTTGGTGAAGCCTCATTACCAGGTTTGAGGGCCGAGGAGGAACAACTCGCTGCAGACGAAACTGGCCTCAAAAAAAAAAAAGAAAGAAAGAAAAGAAAATAACACCCCTGACCTAATACCCTGGAGTAGAGGAAGCTTCCTAGTCCAAGGAGGCTTCACGACAGCAGCTCCTGGGGCTCCGAAGCTGTCTTTCCTTCTTTGGCCGTGCTGTGTGGCTTGCTGGATCTTAGTTCCCCGGCCAGGGACAGAACTCTGGCCCCCTCAGCGAAAGGACTGAGGCCTATCCACTGGGCTGTCTCGGAAGTCCCTCTGAGGCTCTTTGGATTCACACCATCGCTTTGAACATCCTAATCTGGGGCGTGGGAAGGGGCGAGATGGGAACCTGGGCCAAGTACACCAACAGCCTGATCAGCAAAAGCCTGGGTCTTGGCCCAACTCTTTTTTACATAAATAAAACCCACAGTTAAAATTATTACGAACGGTGATGTAATATACGGAGGAATTTATTTAAATGACAAAATTTATTTTTAAAACTTTATAAATGATGTCAATTTTTATTTATAGAATCGTTAGTTCTACAGGCTCAACAAAACGTTTCACTTTTACATTGCTAGGCTTTTGTGGGAGAAATTATGGGCTAAAAAGCTGTTTTTAAATCTGGGGAATATCTTTCAGGGAGCCATTCCCTGAAAACATCCGTGGTCTGATTACTGTATTCGGAAGAGATGTTTACGGTGGCCTATCAAAGTTTACTGTTCTAGAATCACCCATGACAGCAAAAACACAAGATGTGGGCATCAGGGACAGAGAAATTCACCCTCACCTCAATTATTTAGTTGGGTCTCTGTGGGGCTAAAGACACGCAGAGGTTAAAATCAACCATGCCCACATTCCACCCACCGAAAACTTACTCCCACTCTCAGATGGGAAGTGCTTTGAACTGCAGCCAGGGCCACCACCCGTTCTGCCCAACACTGGACACCAGAGCTGTCTCAGTTACGCAGACCGGGCTTCATGGCAGTGAGCTGTGAACAGTGCCCAAACACAAAATAATTCTTCCAGTAATAAAAACAAAAAAAAAGAAAAAGATCAATTTTGCCCTGTGAGGCTCCAGCTGAACAGAAACCAGTCTGGGGACGCCAGGAAGAGGCTGGGGCGAAACACCACGTGGCGGTGAGGAAGCTGGTTTAACATTTAAGGGAACAAAGTGGGGGCGGTCTCGGAACCTTTGTAGTTAAGAGGACCGACGGGCAGAGCAAACACGTTTTAATAGCCAAGCTCCTCCTTTCACACATGTGTAAAACCTCTGGAATTTCATTGGAAAAACTATTTCAAAAGTAATCTTTGAAGTTTGAAAGTAAAAGCCGAAGGGCAAGGCCTTGGTACAGCGAGATGGATTCAAACTGCCGAAGGGACCGAGGGAAGGCGCTAACGGGCGGCGCCAGATCAGAGCCACGGGCTCGCACGTCTGACTCTGTCCCCTGGTTTCACCGTGTCGCCGCCTGGCTTAGAGTTTCCCTGATGGCACAAAAGACACTGGTTTCCTCTCTCTCACTCTGCCCTCTTGGGGCCCTGAGAACCCCCACGCCAGGTCTGCATGGTGGCAGGACTGGTGATGCTGACGATACAGACAGGAGACGGGACTGGGTGTGCACGTGTCCCTGGAGGAGAGCCCCTGCCTGGGCTGCCTTCTCTGCCCTTTACGGCCCAGAATCGAGCAGAATGACCGCTGCGGAGCGGCCCTTCTGGGTTTCATAAACCACTGGCTGAAAGGCCGACACCCAACAGCGGGCCCAATGTAAACTCTACCCGAGAGCCCGGGGTGTGTGTCGGTGTGCACGGGGCGCGCGTGCGTGCGGCCACACAGACGTGCTCGTGCACATCCTGTGCGTAAGGGCACACACAGCGAGAAGACCCTCCAGGCTTCTCGGCAACCTCTCTCCTTCCTCCGTCTTCCAAAGGGGAAAAAAGGCATCTCGTTTTGAATGCCTGAAGAAGGCTTTCACCAGCTGCCCCTGCTTCTGTGTGCACCCGGGCTGCTGGGAACGGGCTTTTCCTCCAACTGTCACCTGCAGTAAGAGGGTACAGCGTGTGACTCATCGCCGCCGGTCCTCATCAGCCAACCAGCCTGGAATTTCATACAGACTGGGCACACAGCTCTCGCCCCATCACGGTTCACCGAATCGGCTCTTTGCATTCTACCTGGCTTTTCACTGCTCACCTGTGACCAGAGGCTGTGTGTTCTGGGGCATCTTTAAAGCTCAATCGGAAAGATAAATAAGTCATTGTGAGGGACACACATTCTGGGTACCCAGCCTGGCCCTGAGGGGTTTTCTCTTTACGCCTCTGGAAGGCAGGGACGAGGGCCGTCAGACCTGGAGCTACACTGGCCCCCTCTCACTCTTTTTCCTGCTCCCCCAGGATGTTTGAACTCCTGCTGCCTGTGGGGTTGGGGATGTGGTTTGACCGAACCCCACTCTGGGAGTCCTGCTACGGCCTGGCACCCAGGGCTCCTCCTCAGAGCACCGCGGGGTCTGTGGATACAGCCACCCCTCGGGGGTGTCCCCTCCTCACTGTGCCCACTTACTGCTCCCGCTGTGGGCCAGGGCATGTATCTCACTGAATCACCACCGTCTTCTCTGAGGAGGTTTTTCATGCCTCCATTTCTGTTTCCACAGCTGAGGAAACTGAGGCCCAGATGGCCCGCCTCCTGATCATGGTTTGGGGTGAAGGGCGGAGCTGGGGGAGGCTTGGGCCCAGGCCCCCTGCTCCTCCTGCTCATCGCTGCTCTTCCAGCGATGCAAAGATGTGACCACGGAGGAGCCGGGCCACAACCTGGGCTGGAGCAGACGTCTCCGCCCGGCCCTGCCACGGCTGTCACCCGGGGGCCTGGTCACTGGGGGAGGAAGACCTGACGGCCTGGATGTCCTGCCTTAGTGTCTGGTTTCAGGCTGAGGGGAGCAGCTGGTCGGCACCCACAGGCCCCCAGGGTGTCCCTGGGGCCCCGAAGCAGTGACCAGCAGTCCCGGCCCTGAGTAAGGGGCCAGGGCCCTCTCAGCCTCCACCACACACTGGACGCTAGGGTGCGGAGGTTAAGAGTAGCTGTGGACCCAGCCTGCCTGAGCTGTGTGACTGTGGGTAAGTTAACTAACCTCTCTGAGCTTTCACTTCTGCATCTGTGAGCTGGGATTAAGGATACCTATGCCCCTTACGGCTGCTCCGAGTAGAGAAACGGTTTTGGTAAAGCACCCAGAACAGGGGCTGACACTTCATCAATGCCTGGTATTTGCTTTTGTGGTTATTATTCACCTCCCAGACATGAAGGAAAATGACCAACGTCTGTTGTGGAAACGTCTCTGTGCTCTACCCCCAACCCTACCAAAAATCAGTTTCCTGTAAATAATCCCCACACAGGAAGGGAGCTGGATGGGGTGGGTGGTCCCTGCTCTACGAGGCCGCTGTGACATGACAAATAAGCTGCAGGCTGACAATGTCTCCAAGACATATTGGAGTTTACTTTGTCGTTTGGGCTTGCCATCTGTGCTACCCCGACGGGGCCAGCTTCCCAGGCTGCTCTGAGAGCCCACAGGAGGGCCTACCAGTCCCTGGACAGAACTGCAAGCTCAGCAGGCCATCAGTTACACTGCCTAATGAGAGAAGATGGAATTTCCCCAGCAGCTCCCTGGGAGTCAGGCCTTCCTTCCCAGGCAGGGCCGGGGTCCTGGCGCTGCACGGGGCGGGTAAACCCGCAGCGCTCAGCACCGGGTGGCTGCCCTGTGCTGCTCTGCCCCTGCTGTGCTGCGGGGCTGGGGGGAGGGGAGCCCAGCGGCGATATGAACTTGACCTCAGAGCCCTCAGAGTCAACTTAGGCGCTGTATGCATCAGGAGGCTGAGGGTACAAAGACTGATGAGGCCAAGCACCTCCCCACAGAGCATCTAGGCCAGGAAACGAGGAAGAAACTTGGAACCAAGAGGAGATGGTCAAAAGCCGGGACAGAATTCTGCAGAAGGCACCACGGACACACCCAGGTGCATGGTCATGACTTACTGTGTGACCCTGGGAAAAACCCGCTAACCTCTCTGGACCTCTGTTTCTCATGTATAAGATGGGAATAACAGTTTAATAAATCCCTGTGGTGAAAGCAGTTATTCCCGAAACCAAGCTGAAGCATGCCACGCGCTCCTCTGTGGGAAGGCTGGTCCGGGGAGAACAAGGGCCGACCCTTCTCAGCGTGAATGATGATATAGCAGCCACCTCAGCCTGGGTATAGCTCCCCACGGGGCTCAGGGTTTCCTGGGCCTAGGCCAGCCCCTTCCAGGTTCAGGAATTTCTGGGGTCTCTGGACAGGAAAGATACCAAGTGCCTAAATCTGCCCCAATTATAGGCCGTCCTTACTCTTAACCATGAAGGATGAGCCTCTGCCTTTCTGTGGGAATAAGTCTTAGCGAGGAGGCACCTGGGCGTATCTACTCTCATCCGAAGCCACACTAGTGACAGGAAACCAGGGAGGCCGTGCTGTCTGTCAGTCTCATGACCTGAGGGAGCAGGGCCGTGGCTCTCTGCGGCTGTCCCCGCCCACCAGGCTCGCTCCGTGGATGCGGCGCTATGGGCCTTCTTCAGTGACATCTCCACAAGCTGATGCACACGTCTGATCCCCACAGTCTGATCTGAACACTTCTGGCCGGGTTACAGCAATATGTGTGTGGGTGGCCACACTCTGAGCACCCACTCATTGGCGGCAGGCTCTGTCAGACACTGTACGTGTCATCAACCACACCTGGCCCCCAGGCTGAATGCCACCCCCACCCCCACACCCCGGCCAGGGGTTTCTGAGTAACTGCTTGTTGAACGAGCACACAGCCTCCTGAATACTCATGGCCCAAGTCTGACACGGGTGCGGGGAGCCTTGGGAGTCCAAGTGAGAGCGGCAGGGAGGATGGCGGGGGTCTCCAAAGCCTAGTGCTCTTATGTGTGTGTCACTGGAGTATTGAAAGGGAACGTGCATGGCTTACACAGCACTGCCGATGATCAAAGTTTTGGAGCAAGGGTCTTAGAGTAATTTCTGAAAGGTGAAATAGCTGGTGTTTCATGATGCCCTCTAAGAACAAAGCAGTCCACTAGTAGCAATCAGCCCCTTCGGTAACAAGGGAACTATGTGGCAAAGACAGACTGAGCAGGGCTGAACTGGGTACCACGTGCCAGGGCTGGGAGACTCATAGAGCAGAGCTCCTGTCCTCCGGGAGTGGACCAAGCCCATGCAGCGCAGCTGATGTGCACGCAAAGGGCAACTGAGAGACTGTGCTCGCGCACAGGTACCAAGGCGGGCAGGATGCGCTTGCAGAAGGAACCAGAGGGCAGGGGGGGTCACCAAGGATGAATGCTCTCTGGGAACAACTGGGGCTGGAGTGCAGGGCGGGGGCTGGTGAAGATGTGGAGGGGACAGGAAGGCTCTCTGCGGCGGGAGGAAGGCTCTCTGCGGCGGGAGGAAGCCCCAAGCAAGGCCCGTGTGGGCAGCACCCCGTGGAGCCTCACTCAGCCAGAGCAGAGGGAGGGGTGACAGAGCCCACAGCTACAGGGCCCCTGCAGATCGCTCGAGAGCCAACACTGGGCAAGAACATTATAGAACTTGAGGCCCCAAACACAAATGGAACAAAAAGGTGGAATTTTATTTTGATGAAAGGTAAAACACACATCATGTGAAATTCGGGGCTGGATGAAGCACAAGCTGGAATCAAGAGTGCCAGTAGAAATATCAACAACCTCAGATATGCACATGATACAACATTAAGGGCAGAAAGTGAAGAGGAACTAAAGAGCGTCTTGATGAAGGTGAAAGGGGAGAGTGGAAAAAGCTGGCTTAAAACTAAACATTCAAAAGGCGAAGATAATGGAATCTGGTCCCATCACTTCATGGAAAATAGGTGGGGAAACAATGGACACAGTGATAGATTTCATTTTCTTGGGCTCCAAAATCACTGCGGATGGTGACTGCAGCCATGAAGTTAAAAGATGCTTGCTTCTTGGAAGAAAAGCTATGACAAACTTAGCATATTAAAAAGCAGAGACATCTCTGCCGACAAAGGTCCATATAGTTAAAGCTATGGTTTTTCCAGTAGTCATGTACAGATGTGAGAGTTGGACCGTAAAGAAGGCTAAGTGCTGAAGAATTGATGGTTTCGAACTGTGGGGCTGGAGAAGACTCTCGTGAATCCCTTGGACTGCAAGGAGATCAAACCAGTCAATCCCAAAGGAAATCAACCCTGAATATTCACTGGAAGGACTGATGCTGAAGCTGAAGCTCCAATACTTTGGTCACCTGATGCAAAGAGTCTACTCACTGCAAAAGACCCTGATGCTGGGAAAGATTGAGGGCAAGAGGAGAAGTGAGTGAGAGAGGATTAGATGGTTGGATGGTATCACTGGCTCAATGGACAAAGAGTCTGAGCAAACTCTGAGAGATAGTGAAGGACAGGGAAGCCTGGCGTGCTGCAGTTCATGGGGTCACAAAGAGTCAGACACGCCTTAGTGACTGAACGACAACGAAACACACAATCATGAACCTTCATGGCCTGAATAACATTATGTTGAAACAAACAAAGTCGATGATCAAAATGATAACAACACAATCATAAATTTAAAAAACAATAAGGGTTTCCATCTTGGGTCAAATATGATGAATAAATGTATACGTGCACATGGATATGGACCCATCCTCCTACTTGACCAACGAATGGTAGAGTGTGTGTGAAACACTGTGCCTCACAGGAAGAAGACGTAGCTTCAAGTGTCGACAGAACATTTACTAAAACTGATCACGTGCTAGAAGACAAAGAAAGATCCAATTATGTGAAAAAAATTATAGAGGTCACATTCTCTGACCACCATCCAGTAAAATTAGAAATTAATTCAATAAAATCACACTCACTCAGAAAAAAAGTTTTCTAACCACTTGAGTCAAAGAGGCAATCAAAACTAAAATTATTATGTATTTATGAGTACTATATATGAGACTGCCATCAAAGTAACACACAAGAATATTTATATAGCTTTGAATACTTTTTACTGAAA